GCTAAATTATTGCAATTCTATGAAGTTCCAATAATATTTTAAATATAGCGTTGCATGGTGGTGCAGTGGTCAGCACTGCTGCCCTACAGTGCTGGGGCACTGGGTTCAATTCCACACCAGAGTTTGTACTGTATGTTCTCCTCAAGTTTGTGTGGGTTTCCTCCAGGAGCTCTGTTTTTTTTTCCCCTCAGTCCACAAACATGCTGGTAACTGAAAGTTAATTGGCTTCTGGGAAAACTGTCCCTGGCGTGAGTGGTATCCCATCCACAGTGTATCCTGCCTGGCACTCGTTTCTTATCAGGATAAGCTCCGGCTCCCCTTGTGACCCTGGTGTGAGTACGTGTGTGTCTGTGTTTGCCCTGTGATGGGCTTGTGTCCCATCAAAGAGTGATCCAGATCTGTCAGGAAACTGTAGAGTGGCTTACTCCATAGTGTTTGGCAATGCTGGCACATGACTTGCCTGCCTGCAGCATGCCAATGGCCCTTTCCATTGCTTCTGGTGACATTGGAGGCATTATGGAATGCACAGAAAACTGACTAAGTGTGGCCTTTTTCTTGCAGTGACCTAAGCTTTGAATTAAGGCCTTTTTAAAGATGATCTGATCAGGCATTGTTCCACCTGGACCTCATTGGGTAAAAGTGCTGTATTGCTGGTCAGAGGGCTTAAAACATATTGACAACTTTTTGTGAAAGTACATAAGCTATAACTATAGTATTCTCATTCCAGAAAATGTTGGGTTTCTTTTTTCCATCAGCATATATATGTGAGTAGCAAATATTATTTCATATTTGCTTTTAATATTAAAATTGCATTTAATTTAACTTTATGCTTAGAGTGACCACATGAGTTTAAAACTCATGTTACAAAAACAGCAATATTTTGAGAAGCCATTGTATGCAGTTTGTAACTAAAATTGAGAGGAAGGATTGAGTGATCCTAGATAAGTGCAAAAACAAATAGTGTTTCACTCTCTTCATAGCATCCGCTGTCTCACAGGGGTCTCTTCACCACAGCATGGCAACAGCCCCTTGGCTCGTTCCACTTTTTTATTTTTTGATGGGGGGGGAATTGATGACCTCATCTTATGGCAAGTCTGCCATGTATTCAGTCAAAGAGGATAAAACTATAACTGTGTCTGAAGTTGCTCATGCGCTAAACCATTCAATACGAGGGTTAGTCTGAAAGATATTGAGGTATAGCAAGGTGATCTGTTTAGGAATAAAGAGATTTACAGTGCTGAGGAAAAGATTGTGAACACCTTCTTATTTTCACATATTTCAAACCTTAAATGTCATTAGATCTTAACTGGTCTAGTTAATCTGATGAAGCATGGCAGAAAGCATGCCACTCTTCCAACTTTTATTTATCATCAAATAATGCATCATTCAATATCCATGTGTTAAAAAGTAACTGGTGGCACCCCCTTGAGCAGCAATGATGGCGAACTGAACGTTTCCTGTAATCGGTGCACAGTCTCTCACATTCCTTTTGAGAAAATGTGGCTCCTTCCTCCTTACAGAACTCCTTTATCTCTCTACTATTTGAAGGGAGAGAAGGACGGGCATGGAAGAAGAAGCCATGAGGCTCTTAAGTGGTTAATATGACCTTAACAACTTAAAATATGACATTAACAAGTTAAAAAAAGAAAAAACTAGGAAAACCCTTGGGACAATTTCCACTTGCTCATACACTGAGTGAGATTGTCATTTGAAATTGAAATGAGTTAATAAATTTAAAAGCTCAATAGCTATGTTAACTGTCTACTGCAACCCTTTACATGTGTGGTACTGTACATTGTCTGTGTAAGGATTTCTGAAGTGATAATAAATGAAGAAAATAACCTTTGCTTTCTGAAGGTTGTGGAAACTTGAATCCAGTTCCTCCTTATTTACTGTATATACTGCCCTGGAGGAGAAACGGCTCACACATTTAATTACTTCTGTCTTCCGAGCAGACAGGTCAGTTGAATGTTGGTGCACTTTTCTTTTCATTATTCTTGTTAATAAACACTTTAGAAAGGCCACTAGATTTCTCACTAGGAAAAACAGATGATGAATGGATGGTTAAGGAAAGTTGATACTGAGTGGAGGCCATTCTACCAATCTTGCTCACTTAGTATTTGATTAATTAAGGGATAGTAAAATTTTGTTGAGCTGATTCTTTAGGGAGAGATATTTAGCTTTAATATACCACTTTATAACACCCTTACCACCCGTTCATCCATTTTCTAACCCAATTCTTAATCCAATTAATGGTCACAGGGGTCTGAAACTCTCCTGACAAGCGACAGGCAGGAGGTAGAATACATATACTGTATACCCTGAATGGGATGTCAATCAATTACAGGGCAAAACACACAAGCACACACTCACACCAGGGCCAATGTTCCCAGAAACTAATTAGTCTACCTGGATCTTTAAGGACTGTGGGAGGAAAGCCATGCAAACATGGGGAGAATATACAAACTCCACAGAGACAGTACCCCCAGGAATTGAACTCAGGGTCCCAACACTGCTAGACAGCAATGATAACCACTGTGCCACCCATGCCACTCTTACATTTAATGTAAAACTTTGTACATTACATTATTTACACTACATTATATACAGTGTTGTCCTGAACAAAGCTGTCTGCAAAGCAAACCAATAAATGATTTATTACAACGCCGAGGGTGCCAGAACTGTTCAATGAGACTCATTATTAAATATTAAAATGACCTTGACATAAACACTGAGTATTGAAATCTGTAGAGTTTGTCGCATTAGTAATGTCCACAGTATAGCATTGCACAGTAACAGCAAAATGTAACTCAGTTTTAATGCATTTACTGTGTATACTGTACATATGGGCATGTTTCACTGGTGAAAGTTAGTTACTGTGTGTCACGCTACTGAGCCTCTAATAAAGGCAAAATAATTGTGTGTGGCTGCAAACTTTTACTATAGCTCCATTTATTCTTTGTAAGATAAATAAAACACCTCTGTGTACTAGCCCCCAGGGAGTTCTCAGAAAGATTATCTGAGTTCTTATAATTTATTGGCTGTGGTTAGAAATCACCCAGATTGGTGTGTGGAAACAATGGCTTAAGATTGATTGAAAATCTGATTGAAAAGTCATGCATCAGCATTTTTATGTTGTGGGAGGGGAAATTAGACAGCTGTGTTGCAACTTTTAACTAACTGCAGAAATAAATTCATACATGTACATAAAGCATCTTATTTCCCACTCCCAGGGTGGCGTGTACTGAAACGCACTGTACCGTATGTATCGACAAAGTAGGCAGCTTGGTGTTTAGTGCTTCTGCTGCATATCTCTTGGGTCCTGGGATTGGGTCTGGTCAGTAGTGTGTTATGGGTGGAGTTTGCATGTTCAGACTGTGTTCATGTATGCTACATTATTAAACCATGTGCAATCGACTCTTTGTATCATTGCGACGCAGAACTCAAAATGTTGTAGATCTTTCACATACTAATGGGGAACACAAGCAGGGTTTAGACCAGTGCTTTCTAAGCCTGGTTATGGTGATCCACACAATTGTTGGTTTTTGTTCCAGCCAAGCCCCTGATTACACAATCAAACCCTTCATTGACTTAATAATAATAAGGATAATAATAATAACAACAAATAATAATTTGTACTGTTTGTTATCAGCTCTAAAAGAGGTTCTAATGAAAGCTGAATGAAGGATAAGGGCAGCTGGGCTTATTTAGTTCAGCTGCCACAACTCCCTACTAATCCTGACGTAGTTGCCTCAGTTCCCATGCATGTACTGTATACACCACACGACACTCTCTCTGTGAGCTCACAAAGCCTTAGAGGATAACTTGTGTCAGCAGGTGTGAACTGACTCTCACCAACACACTTTAAAATCTGGTGGTTGTTTGGTCTTACTGTACCTGTTGAGTTAAAGATATCCTGACTCCAGTTCATTCTACTTGGGCCATATTTGACCAGTTGTGCTATTTTGCTAAATATCTTGTTTACAATCTACTGTAATTACGTTGCCCAGGCTCATATCTCTAATGTGTGAGCTCTCCAGCTCAACACGCAGGATCTTCCTATCATATTAATTGTCTTTATGATGTCACGCATTCAATTAATGTAAAACAGCAAAAGAATCACTGATACAAACAATAAAATGTGCACGTCTTTTTTTCAGATTTCCATGTTTGTGATCAGAATAAAGTAACCCAGAATTTTGGTCTATCAGGATGTTTCATTTAACAAAAAGCTTACTGGACTGAAACGTCACATTTTAAGAAAATAATTACCCTGATACATACTTCCAAGAAGTGTCATCCAACAATTTTTAAACTATTTTCATCCAATTGAGGGTCACAGTGGAGCTGGAGCCTATCTAAGCAATCAACATGCACAAGACAGAATACACCCTGGATGGGACACCAGTCCCTTGCAGGGCACACATACACACACTCCCACCAGGGCCAGTTTTCCTAGATGACCTACCAGCATGTCTATGGATTGTGGGAGGAAACCAGAGCACCCAGAGGAAACACACACACGAACATGGGGAGAACATACAAGCTCCACACAGACAGCACCCCCAGCTGTGGAATTGAACCCAGAGGCCCAGTGCTGTGTTGCAGCAATGCTAACCACTGCACCACCATGGTGCCCCCAAAGAACTGTCAATGTCTTTTGACATTGACATTTAGAATGAATTACAGTAAATGGAAGATGAGTTTGAAAAAAATCATTTTATACATCTCTTATAAAACTCATTACTTTCAATTCCTAATATGGATTCTGAAAATCATATTGTGCATTTGTAACTTTCCTCATAAAACGATTTGATCTCTGAATTTACCCATGTAGTTTTACAGCATCTGCACAACGAAGAAGTATTCTTTACCACAGAATACATCAATTTCGATATTACAGTCATTTAAAATTGCACTCTAGTCAGAGCAAGACTGCTTTGGAGTTTGGCATTTACCACCTTTTTTGTTGTTGAGACGAACAAAAGCAATGGGTCATCTTTGAGAATCCTATGTGGCTTTATTTAGCACTCATTCATGTGATAACAAACAAACCATTTGTTTAAGTTCACCTTTCAACACAAGTCTCTACAGATACATACAATCACAAACTTTTTTCACAAAGTGCCTTTTTAAAAATAAAAAATGAACGAATGAACAGAAAAACCCTTCAGCACCAAATTTTAACACAGAAGTTTCAATGCTCATGCATTTGCTTTCTATCTGCTATTGTGACAATGGTGATAAGAACAATGGCTACAGATCAATTCATGAGCTACATCTCTTAATTAACAAACGTAAACATTTTCAAAGCAATACTTATTTCATGTTCTTCTTTATTTTTTTAAATTATTCCTTCCAAAAATGTCATAAATAAGAAAACAAAATTATCAATGAAACCATCAGTTTCCTTGAACCATGCAGTTTAAATCACCATTAATACTTTGCAGTAACCACCCAGCTTAGAGAACAGTTTTGCAACATGTACAACCTTGAAACATTCAAAGCAAAAGAGCTGTCTGACAAATATTTCTGAAAATCCTAAGTGGGTTCTTTAGAAAAGAACATTTTGTGAAAAAGTATTTTCAATCTGCAAAATAACTGCAATCCTTCCTCGAAAGTGTTTTCCAGTAGCTTACATTAAAAGCAGATTAAAATACTGCAGCCTTTCTCCCAAAGGATACTGCAGTTTATTGGGAGACACTGACAAGTCCCTTAAAACTATTACTTCAGAAAAACAACTTCACAATCAGATTTTTAAGTGTAAACAGTGAGAGAAGTTGTGGTATCTATGTGAATGTGAATTTGCGTCTTTGATGTTTAAATACTAATGCATGACAAATGCACAGAGTGTAATTAGGCCTCATTTGAACAGTGAAGAAAGTATCCCCTGTACTGAACACACAATATGAACCATACCAATATTTGTCATTGACAAGACAGACTTAAGTGGCTACAAGTTGTACTGGTAGAGATATGAAAACATACTGTAGCTGACAGCTATCAAACCACACTGTCATATATTTATGTATGCATTTCAGAGTAGTGTAGCTGTGATGTTACATTAGTATTAAATTGCTCACATTCAAGTACACATTTTTGTCAATTTTGGAACCTATTCAGTTGTTTAGTGTCATTTATAAAGTAGAAGGAGTTACAGTAGCTGTAGTACTCAGAGTGTACACTTGCACTCTCCCTGTATAATCATCTGAACAGTGACTGGGACTAATTTAAAAATGTTTGATTCATTGTTCAAAAACAGAGAGTGCAGCATGGTATCTTGACATGTTCTAGGTCAGTTTTGTTTTGAGTGACACAATAGTATGTTCACTGAAACACAGTAAAGAAGATTCTGCCCCTTTCTGACTCATAACAACAGACTGAGCCTCCTTTGTCATTTTACCCACACATTGACAAACCACTTTGTTTACACTTGGAGTGTCTTCTTATATTTTGATGATTTCATAGTTTACAAAATTCTGAAGATTCCAAGTTCCAATTGAATTTATTTTGTTATTATATGAGTAATGTTTACTGTATATACTGTAACAAGCATTTTTCCAGAGATAGAAAAGTGTAGCACAGTCCTTAAAAATGTAAAAATTAAAATTGGAATTTGGATGCTTTTTGAGTTTTGTTCATCTTTCAGAGCATGATCCTTAAGTCTGAGCATTCTCCTCTGATACTCTGATTTACAACACTTATACAAACGAAACACAAAGACTTATTTCCCAGGTAATAGTAAAAAAAGTGCAAATAATACAAACACCTTGAAATTTAAGAGAGTAACAGATATATCTACAATGTATTTGTTAAAAAAAATATTATGGAGCCCTGTCACTTAAAGCTGGGCTTTTCTCCATTAGTCTTACACCTAAGGAATACTGATGTATCTGTGGTAAAATCAATCAAATTATTCACAGATTCACATTTAAGGGATGCAGATAAATTAAGTTGTTTTAACACTTTCTTACCCCTGACAACAAATCCAGGAGTAAAAAAAGTTTTCCACATCTAAACATGAGTTCTGCATTGTTGGAAACTGCAGTACCCATTTAATTTCCCATCTAATTATTAGGAAGCACATCTAAGCTTATGCCTAGAGGAAGAGGAAGAATAAGAAGACATTTATGCTGTCTCATTTATTTTTCAATATTGCATTCATGTGTAACTCCACTGCCAAAGACAAAAGTGGTAAAAAAGCATTTACCTACAGTAGTTTGTTGTTTCTTTTTAATACAGCTTTACAGTTTGTGGGGTTTACCATGCTTATTCTATGAGGTTTACTGTGGAGAACATATACAGTAGTTAGTATAATTACTTATCACTCTTTTTTTTCTTTTTCATTCTCTTATTCATCCTTCATATTCTATGCTTCAGCACATTTTAGGAGCATTTTATTGTACTTTTTCTATGATTCATGAAATTGTACTAGGGCTTTTTAAGGCTTATCGTAAATTTCTTACTAGAAGTAAAAACGTGATTTCTTTTGAGAAACATCTCTCAGATACCCAGAGGATAAAATTTTTAATGTTCGTGAAAAAGTATAGATTTATGTCACTTCCACAAAAGCAGCAAATATAAATGACAAGAATTAAACAAAACCACTTTGGATAAAACAATCACTAAAAAGGGTGAAACAGGTTCAGAATTTCCATTGAAAACATATCTTAATTGCTTATATTCTTTGGACTACACTTAATACAAAATCAGACTATATTTCTTTTAAAAAAGTCTGGTAACTGCATTTGCAGTTCATTCCAAAATGAACCCACTATTTGTTTTTGTTCATTCTGTGTTCTTCTGGCTTATAACATGGACAGTTTTCTGACCTCAACAGACATGATAAAAAGAGGAATGCTCACTGTTCCTAACTGTTGCAGAAAGCATGTGGTTTAGACTGAGGAGGCCGTATTTCTCTTTGTAAAAATACAACTAATTTGCCAAGCAGCGTACTTTGTTAAAATGTATACCACACCATGTCTGAAATTCCCACCAGAGAAGCTGTGATTAAAGACACTCACTCTGGATTTCACACTGAATAAGCAACAGTACAGGATACATTTTAACCTTGCTCATATCTGCTCATTTTTAAACACGTTACTGTCCTGACAGAAATCTATTTCATTGCCAAAATAATGCTAAAAATATCAAAGAGATTTCGAAGGGCAATAAGTGCTACTTGTATTACACCAGTGCACCACTGGTATTTTACATCACTACAGGATGTGATAGATCATGTTAAAGGACAGGAACAGGGAGTTGTGCACTGCTGATTACCACTGACACTGTAACAAGAAGTTCAAAGGAGTTCATCATACAGAAATGTTGCATCTGTGTTTTCTTGGCTGACATTTCCATTGCATGTTTATGATATGAATTGAGCTTGGATTTTCCCCTTTTTTAAGTCCTATTTGAGGCAACTGGAGCAACAAGAAGACACCATGACAAAAAGCACATTGTATCAAGACTATTCTACGTCTATAGAACTATGTATTTATTTTCCATTTCTAGCAGTGTTAAATACCCCAGTCAACACATATGTACTATAGCACCCAAACCAAACTCCGGACTCTGAACTGGGTTTATCATTCTGGCTTTGAGATTTTTTCTTAACTTAGTGCCAAGCTTTTTGAAAGAAAAGATAAGCAGAATTTACTTCATTTGCCTTTTTCTCCAACCTTCTTTTAAAAAAGATTCCTTGCTTAAAACCTGCTAAAATACAAACCAAAACATTCTGAAATGACAAAACAAATTTGTAATTTTACCAATCCATATTTGTTCACATACACTATCAGCAGGCAAACGTCCAAATACACAATGTTTTGCATCAGTACCTAAGCAACTATTCTTTTTTCCACAAATAAAAAAAGTGCTCTTTTCAATTTTACTATGTTTTCCTTTTCTAAGTAAAGTGTGGTGTTGGAGATATTTTAAGCACCTCTGGTATCAAAATCAGTGCAGTATTCTTGGTTCATCTTTAATTTTCTGAAGCTGATTTCAGTGTTGTGGCCCAGGAGTGATGATGTTCAACCGTTGCTGTGTTTGGTCCTGAGATGGATGTTCCCATGGTTACCAAATGCCACTGGATCTGCCACCAGGGGGAGCCAAAATTCTGGCTGAAGATCTCTTTGGAACATGATCATCAACTTGGGCTCCTGGCAAACAAGAAATAATTGGACAAAACTATTACAGCTATTTTGTAGTTAGATATTGCTCATAGACAATTTTAACATTTTATTAAATAACATTATTAATAACATATTTTCTTGCACTTCAACATCTACACTTTCTCTCACATTTGGCATTTACTTTTAATTTTTAATTTCAAATGAGAAAAAAAGCAAATTCATTAATATCGCTATAGATGTACATAAAGTTGTACATAAAAATGCAACTCATACTGAGAAAGTCTTGATATTTGTATTTTAGAACACAAAATAATTCGGCCACCACATAAAATTTATTTAGAGAAGAACAACAGAATAATATTAAATCTATTTGAGGTATATCAGTAAATCCCAATTATTCTTTTAGTCTTCAAATTTTAAAATACAAAATTTAAGACCTCTGCAATATAGCTGTCAATGTTCAAATTTGATTTCTCGGTTGGGTGTACATCCTGGAAGTACATGGATATGTTTTGATATATTTTCATCTATTGAAGTGTCACTTGCTGCTCTTTGCCAGTTCATCATGGCCCCTGGAGAAAAGACAGTGTGAAATGGCTGAGAGCTCCCTCTATCAATGAGCAATAATAATAATAATAATAATAATAATAATAATTGTTTACACTTATATAGCGCTTTTCTGGACACTCCCAGGGTGATATGGACACTCCAATCAAAGCGCTTTCCAGGTAATGGGGACTCCCCTCCACCACCACCATTGTGCAGCATCCACCTGGATGATGCGACAGCAGCCATAGTGTGCCAGAACACTCAAATTTGGGAAATTTGGCCAGGATGCCTGGGTTACACCCCTACTCTTTTTGAAAAGCACCCTGGGATTTTTATTGAACACAGAGAGACAGTACCTTGTTTTTATGTCTCATTCAAAGGACGGCGCCTTTTTACAGCAAAGTCTCCTCGTCAGTAATACTGGGGCATTAGGACCCACATGGGCCACAGGGTGAGCACCCCCTGCTGGCCCCACTAACACCTCTTCCAGCAGCAACCTTAGTTTTTCCCAGGAGGTCACCCATCCAGGTACTGACCAGGCTCACACCTGCTTAGCTTCAATGGGCTGCCAATTGTGAGTTGCAGGGTGATATGGCTGCTGGCTACAGTGGGATTACCAGACAGACTGAAGCTAGATTCATGCAGGTCCCTCATGCCTCCATGTCGTGTGGTTGGCCTGGTGGGGGTGTCAGCATCGGGTGGTCCCATCTCCTTCTTCCCCGAGTTGTGGACCACCGCTACATCACCCACGTAGGGAGTGCGGTCCACTCCTTTCAGGACCTGGCGCTGACATAGGACACAAATAACAGTCAGTCAGAAGCGTCTCTTTCTTTGGTTGGGGTTTCTGTTGCAGATGAGAGCCAGACAGCAAACATGGTCTCATCTCCAGAGGGTCACACCAGATCAGTCTCTAGAGACGTGCGCAAAACACAGCGACATGCAACAGCTGCCATCACCTGCTGTATACAGATGGAGCTCTAATAATAATTAATAAAAATTGCTTACACTTATATAGCTTTTCTGGACACTCCACTCAAAGCGCTTTACAGGTAATGGGGACTCCCCTCCCCCACCACCAATGTGCAGCATCCACCTAGATGATGCGACGGCAGCCATAGTGCGCCAGAACGCTCACCACACATCAGCTATCAATGGGGAGGAGAGCAGAGTGATGAAGCCAATTCATAGATGGGGATTATTAGGAGGACATGATTGGTAAGGGCCAATGGGAAATTTAATCAGCTCTATAAGAGCCGAGCTGATCATAGACAAAGTTCACATCACAATTATGCAATTATTATTTTACTAATTACCTACGTAGCAGGCAAGGATCTTTTTTGTTGCTAAATTTAAAAATTCAAGGAAATTTTCAAACGGCACATTTTAAAAAAACACACAAGCCTTAAATGATTTTGGAAACTAAGGGGGTAAGTACCTTTGCGGTAATCCTGTGAAATCGATGTATTCAGAAGATTTGAAACTGCCACTGTTCCAGATCATCAGATCAGGATGTTGATTCACACTAAACTTTGACACTTCATGTCTGAAGTGTCTGTGGCAATTTATAATACTTACAATAATAGAAAGATTTTGTAAGACAAGCCATGTCATTTCAAGGCTCACATTCCCATATATACTGATGGAAAAAAGAAAGACAACATTTTCTGGAATGAGACTACTAGTTATAGCTTATGTACTTTCACAAAAGCTTCCTGATCAGCAATACAGCTTGTGCAGTCAGGCATTGCACATTACAATCACACAAAAGCTCGTTAGGTGCACTTTTACCCAATGAGGTCCAGGTGAAACAAAGCCTGATCTGGTCACCTTTAAAAAGGCCTTAATTCAAACGTTAGGTCACTGCAAGAAAAAGGCCACATTTAGTCAATATTCTGTGCATTCCATAATGCCTTGAATGTCACCAGAAGCAAGGGAGAGGGCCACTGGCGTGCTGCAGGCAGGCATGTCATGTGCCAGTGTTGCCAGACACTATGGAGTAAGCTGCTCCACTGTGTCTCTACTACAGAGAAGGTTTCAGCAGACCGGCAGGACAGATGACCATCCAAGATCCGGTTGCCCTCGAGTGACCACACCAGAGCAGGACCGACACATCAGACTGGTCCATCTGAGAGATCATTTCAGATCTGCCACCCTTACTGCTGCTGAAACCTAAGAGCCTAAGAGCAAGGCGACCTGTCACAGGCTCTCTGCTCACACCTCCTAGACGTCACACCTGACTGGCTTGAGCCAGACAGATGCTGGGATGGACTCGTCAGCAGTGGCTTCAGGTCCTCTTCATGGATGAGACACTCTTCAGCCTGTTCCACCCAGACAGGAGGGCCAGAGTGTGGAGGAGGAGGTGTTGCTTTTCTTTTTTCCATCAGTATATATCAAGTGTAAACTCATCAACATTACATTGGTGTTTAATTTTCTTGTCAGAAGGATTCCTCTAATCATGTGGTCACAATAGTTGATCCTCAGTACTGATGTCTTGCAAATTTGTCAGTGCAAGTAGGATTTTTTATGAATGAACACAAAAAGGCAACCACCAAAAATATTATGGGTAATTGCCAAATAATACATCTAAAATGAAGAAATCCTGCAAATACAAAATATTCAAATATTCATTATTTTTTTTATATAGCAATATATAATTTAAATAATTTAACAGTCTCAAGTGATAATTAACATCTTCCATTTAGCAAACAATTATGATTGAAATTCTGCACTTAGATTTAGAAGACAGATGAAAAACCTGCCCTCACCAAAGGTGTCTGGTTAATCAAATTAAAAAGAAGGCTGAAAAATGATAATTCAATGTCATCGTAAATTAAAGAGGAACTGAAGTCCCAATTTCTCAGACCGGTAATTACATCTCGGCAACAAAATCAATTCTTTGAAATGAACAGTACAGAAAAATTTTACACATCTGGAATTAAGTACAAAATTGTGAACTTTGTGAAAGTTCTGTATGGGTGGCATTGTTGTCACAAAGCCCTGGTCTCGCCACAGGCAAGAGTTAAAGTTCCCACAATTTGCACCATGATGCGGCCCTTCTTGCTCACTAGTCACTGTAGTGAATAATGTACTGTGATATACAAGCGAAGAAGTAGAGGTTGAGCAACAGACATTTCACCGCAGAAATGTTCCAACGTAATCTGCATGCAGAGTTAACAAGTAAGTAGCATTTGTCAGCAAAACCATCTTGAAGCCGAGAGCAATATTTCTATTGGACTAAAAGAGATGTATCTGCAAACCTGCTTTTTTACAGTGTTATAAGGCTGCTTCAAGTCATTGGACGTTTTATTACATCGTTCTGAATCGCAGACAATGATGGCAATACAGTGCTGTGCATACTTGGAAATTTTACACATCACTGTGTACATTTTATTTTCTATTGTAGTTTGAAATGCACTCATCAATTCCATGTCTTTCTAACTATCAAATATAAAAATAGCGTTGCAGTTCCCCTTAAATACACAAACTGATCGCCATCTCAGGGATTTCACAATGGAAAATTTTTTACTTGTGTGACTATTTTTCAGCATATTCAGAGGGAGATTAAAGCAGCACACTATACATCTTATCATTCAGTGAAACCTGGCTAAATCCCCCTTAATTGTATTTCCAAGAGTAAGTGATTGCTGTACTCCTCTCGGCTGACATTAATTCTGGCCATCAGCAGCCATTCTTGGGACTGCTTTGTTCTTACAACTGTGAATGACTTAACGGAGAGCAGAAGGTTTTGATGTTGCTCTCAGGCTGTGACATACTATAAGGATTCCCATCGATTCTCTAACGTGTTGAGTTTACATGTCTAAAGCAGCCCATTATCCTCATGTTTAAAATCCCAGTCACCTTTAACTATCCATTAGGGTCTCCTTGCCTCCATTGTTAATAACATATACAGTATTTGAACTCAAATATATTTAGAGTGTATTGAGGCACTAAAGTCACTTCTGCAACCAGTTAAAGAATCTAGGATATAGATCAGTCAGCTCTACCCCAGCTTCTTCAGGGACCTTCCATTGAACTGATTTGATCAAGACCACACTGTGACCGAGTCTCTTACCTTGTCCCTCTGCACCATTTTCTTGTACAGGAAGTCGGGGAAGGTCCTCAGTGGGTAGAACTTGCCAGTTCCCTCGGCGCACATGAACGCACCGTTCTCACAGACCACCCTGCCGCGGCTGATGGTGACCAGTGGAACTCCGTGGCAGCGCATGTTCTCGTACAGGTTGATGTCTCCTCCTTGCACCTGAGTGCTCACCGAGATAGTCCTGGACAAAGGAAATCGAGATGTGCGGCTTGTGATCACAGCAGGAAAATGCCTCACGGATGATCTTGGCTCTAATTAGGACGTTTCATACAGCAGATAAAGTCAACGTAAGTAGTGGGGTTGACTTCAAGGTTAAGATCAAGTCATTGCAATGTCCTTTCTGTGACCGAGTATATCCACACACCTGTTTATCTAACAGGGAAGGCCTTTGGAGCTTCAAAGAGCAAGCAGTAGTGGGAGTGAATCATGGGAACTTAACTCATGCAGCTCATGCTTTCTCTTGAAAGCAATGTAATTCTGAAAAGTGTCATATAAAAACTGCTAGAATCCTTTTTGGGGGCAAACTACCACTGTGTCATACTTGTAAGCTCCAATAAGGGCAACACAGCTGTCTTGGGCTTTGAAAATTGACTCAATACTTGCAAAGCAGAGTTTGAAGTTTCTTTAGTCTAGGGATTGACAACCCAGGTTCCTGAGTGCCAAACTGCCACAGATTTTAAAGGCACCTTTCATTTAACTCCTGATAAAGACATGGAAAACAGCTGATTTGACTTCTTATCCAAATTCTTATGACTTCTTATGTTAAATTCTGAGATGGAATGATACCCAGAAACACACAAGTCACCTGGGGACCCGGTTTGCCTGCCCCTGGATTTATTAGTACTTTCTAATACTATGGAAGCTATGAAATAGTCAGATCTGACTCAGATCTACAGTATTTCACTGTAAAGGTATTTAAATTGATATATTTCTATTTCTTTTCACTGCTGGTATTTTTTCTTTATTCTGAAGAGATGATGATGTCAGTGACTAAACGTCTTTTTCCTTTCTTTGCAAATGGATCATAAATAGAAGAGTTGAGCCTTGCATTAACCTACTGTAGGTTTATAGTAGGAGTTATATAGGAGTCTAATGATGTGTCTTTATTGTAAATGTCTGTAGATTTTGTAGATCTGTAGATCAAGACTGATTTTACTCATTGGTCATGCCAATAAAGCATCTTGAACTGAAATGGAATTGTTTTCAACCCATTTTGTAACAACAGTGCCATCTGCTGGCAGATTATACTTAAAGTGTTTAGCTGACAAGGGATCCAAAAAGGGGAGTGACAAAGCCAGCAGGACAGACAGAATGACTTACTGATATGCAACCTTTTATTCTTCTTGCTATTTGTCTTTTATACCAGAAGGTGGTACAATTGAGGAGTTAAATATACCAAACTTCACATGTTCGCATAGCTAAACAGACGTTCCTGTAGCTGTGGTTTCTGAGCTGTACATTTCACACCAGTTTCTAACAAGAATATCAGGTTTATAATGTGAACTATCTGCAAAATGTTTATGGTTGAAACTGTATATGTTAAAAGACATTTAAATCAGTGGTTGTTAGATGAGGTGCAGCTGTTGGCTGGCGCTTCAGTATTGCACTTAAACCCAGGACTTTTTTGACAAGTCCAAGTCCTTCTATAACCATTATGAAAGGAGCACTTAGTTTCTGTGCGATCTCGAAAGGTCAGCTCTCCTTAAACTGATTGTTGGTGTTACAAGACGAAGCAGATGGTGGAGTTTCAGCATTCAGATTCAAACCTGCCAGGGTAATATCTTCCCTGAGAGGTTTTGTTAACCTATTTAGTGAAACACACTTGTAGCATTACGATCTGGAGCAGTACAGATTTTTTTGTGGACAAGAATCGGGTGATTAACAACATCATAACTCTTAAAAACTGCAAAGAGCAATGCAGAACTTTGCAGGATTTAGTGGGATACCGGATAATCAGCTCAGCAGTGCACAAAAACACAGTAAGAAACAAACTCACATCACTGATAAGTACACAAGGCATTTGGGCTTTACTACATTACACGTGTTAAGCAACTGATGTTTTGTATTGATAAACAAAAATATATTGTACCTCATTTTGAAAGTTTGCATATTTCAGTACTAGTTCATGTTCTGTCAGCTCTGAAGCATAAAAAATTGAAGTTATTTTATAGCAGTTTTGTGACCTTGATTTCTAAGCTCTCCATCTGAACAGCTGAGAGCTTCCTACCGTGTGGCATCCGGATCCCACACCACCACATCTGCGTCAGCCCCTGGGATGATCCGGCCCTTCCTCGGATATAGGTTGTAGATCTTGGCAGCATTGGAACTTGTTACCGCTACAAAACGGTTCTCATCCATCTTCCCTCCAACCTGAAGGGATTTGAAAAAATAGTACAAAAGTGGACGATGCAGATCAGGAGTGCAGCCTGCAACATTAGTAAAGAACAAGTAACGTTCTTCACTATCTGCAAATAATCCCAAATGAAGACATCTGAAGGTTAATAAAATTTCACTCTTTGTTAAACCTTCTTTACATTCTTAAATGTAAAGGACTGAAGCGGGATTTAGTGTGACGTTTCAGTTAATACAGTACATACAAGAGTTGGGTCCATCAATTTTGTACAAAACTGTTGTAATTTCAGGGAATTGGAGAGCTAAGGTGAGTGATGATATGATCGCTGTCCTGTGAGAGAAAACAGGGACAACGGCATTCTGGTATATGAAAATGAACAAAACTCACATAATTCTAAAAAAAAAGACTCCTTCAGAAATCCTCTACTTTTCCCAACAAATCAGATTCAGGATTACTTATCTGTTCATGAGTATTACGTTGTCTAAATGTTCCAGGTTTCCAAGAGGAATTTATAAATTCTCCCCTCAGAAAAAAAGCCAGCTATCCCAGTGCAATTTCTGAAGGAGTTCTGCAGATTTCTTGCAGAACCAACATGGGGTTTATCCCCATAATACTTCAGGCTTCGTAAATGTATTTTGCAACATTTCTTGTCAGGAATTCTTAACTATTTTATATAGAGTACAAAGGTCTTAGTTCATATACAGCAGTAGTCACAAACACAAAGAGTTTTGTACTCAATGTCTGGTTATAGCAAGTTTTTAGGCAGCAAACCCACACACAGTTTTTATAGGAACAATTCAAGATATTTTTTAAGTGCTACTGCATTAAGGACTCTTCAATTTCCCCTGGGAGTCTCTTCTAAAGTCAGGTTTACTTGCAATGGGGAGCCTGTGAGAGATAGGTCATACTTCAACTCCTGAGCCGAACCTTATAGTTTCAGTATACCGTATGTTTCATAATGACTACAGAATGTATTACGTACAACTCCTCTCTCCCAGATGACACTCATCCGGTCCTGGACACCACTGACACCATGGGGAATTTTAGTGAAGTCCTCCTTGCCCATTGCCTTTTGCTTGGTCGTGAAAGGACGGTGGTCTGAGGCCACAACATTGATAGTGTCACTGCAAGCACAAGAAAAATCGGGAATATAAAAAAAAAACATACAGTAGCTATGGATGCATTGGAAGTAAACCTGAAGTGACTGCTAAATTATTTAAATTAGACACAAAAGTCATACATTTTAAAGGAAATTTCGGAATAGTGACAGCTCATCAATGAAGGACAGTTATATCAAGGCTTTAACAGACTAAACTCCGGGTGGCACTCTGAGCTCAGCTGAGCTTTTCCACTCCTAGGCCTGACATGGGAGCTGTGGTCCCTGAGGGAACAGAGAGTAGGCCTGCGTACTTTCCCAGCAGGCTCATCAGGTAGTTGGGAGTGTTGGGGTCCAGTCGGAGGGGAGGCACAGTAACATAGGCAGCAGCGTGCGACCAGTCCTGGTGGTAGTAGTGCAGTCCATTCAAGACGGCGTGAGCTACGGTCGTCTCCGCATGGACTACCTTGCCTGGTCCGACAGGGAGAACAGTGATCAATACACACAATATCATGCACATGATGCTACTGTTTAGCCCAATGTTACATGATGGTTATTTAATGCAACATTAGAAGATATTCCTAGACATAATATGATCAACTTACTGTTAGATATTATGTAAATAACATACAATATCCATCTTTCTAGAAATCCACGTAAAGAAAAACAGAATTAGTACATACTGTTACTGTTCTGAAGTTTTGTTATCCTGATGGATCCTATCCAGAGAAGTTTCCCTACATTATGTTGGCAGAAAGGTTTTATGTCCATTCAAGCAATCCGTCATTTAATCCTAGAGACTGTGTACGAGGTCTTGCCGTGTAAAATGAGGCTGTTACAGTGATCTTATTCCCCCAGGTAATTTGAAAGTATTCCCATCTCCCTGCGGGCACAGTACTACAGTACAGTACTAGCAGGGCCTGTGTGGTTTCAATGATTAAAAGATTGTAATGGCAGCTCAAACGCAATGCTGCTTGTGCTTCAGAAAAACAAAAGGGAAGGTTATGATCTGGGTACACAGACGAAGACCAGCTTCACGTTGGAAAGTGGTCGGTTCTGCAGACCTGACAAATTACCTTGGCAGGACACTGCTATCTTTAGCATGAATTCTCCTGTACATTTTTTAAATTACTGCAATAGTAGTCTCCAGTAGAGCATTAAAGAGAAATATGTTTTGTGTTTCTAACCTCTGTGAAATCTTACAGTATACAGTATGCTTGCATATTACACTCTTTGGCAATAGATATACTGTGGGCTGATGTGTGCTAACTGGTGTTCTGTTACTGACTGTGAAAGAGACGGAGAGAAATTCTGCCATTAAGCCAGTGAAGAAGAGGAGAGGTGCAAGTGACTGAGGATGAAGCTTACCCTGCATCTTCGCAGTGGCTACGACATCCCCTGCAGACATGCTGGACACATTGACCAGATAGATGGGACAATGAGCCTTAGGAGGTGATAAAAAATGAAGACAAGTGAGTTTCACAGTTCACTTTATCTTCAAGTTCAAGTATCTTACATCTAAAGTGATGATTTTTCCCCATCCATCCATTTTCTTACCACTTTATCCAAAACAGGGTTGCAGGGGAGGCAGAGCCTGTCCCGGCACAAGGCCGGTGTTCCCAGAAGCCGCTTATGTATCTATATGTATTTGGACTGTGGGGGGGTGGGTGGGACTGGAGCACCTGAAGGAAACCCACACAAAAATGGGGACACCATACAAACAACACACAGATAGTACCTAAGGAATTGAACTCAGGGCCCCAGCACTGCAAGGCAGCAATGCTAACCACTGTGCCACCACACTGTGATTGTTTAAAAAAAAAAAATCAAATTCAGGTACTATACGCACATGTCATAAATTAACTGAAGGATAAGTTCACAAACTAGTGTGTTATGAATTTATCACTTCTGATAAGCTGAAACCTGAAACCTGAGTTATTTTTAAATTCTGTACCACTGCTGCTCTAACCTATTTAACCTATTTAGTTGGCAATTGGTACAAATGTAGCATAAACTGTGAATAACTTGTCTTGTATATATTTTAACAAAGCAATCTAAATACCGTTCGTCAGGGCTGTACAAAAAAATTAACTGCTACCCCTATACGTGTCTCCTGTTAATCCCACTTTTATTTGTGAATATTTAAATAAACACAAATGTTAAGACTTTATTGATAAGAATGAGCTTTTAATTTAATTATCTTTATTTAATTTTAATACTCATCTTATTCTTTTTTTTTTACCAGATCAGTCTGTACAGGAGCACTGGGCAGCTCTTGCTTCGAGTTGAGTTAGTGTTGTACTGTAGTTGAAAATCCTCACTAGAAGTCTGAAGAAAATGTCTCAAAAAAAGATGACTGGGACACACATTTGCCTTTTCCTTATCTTATTGTATTTCGAGTCATGGAGATACTCCTCTATAATACATCAATGTCAGACTCAATGAAATCACAGGTGCCTACTTTCAAAAATCCGATGCAGTCACTACAGACATGCTATTTATTCTACAGTCCTGCAGAAAGTAGAACTCACTTTTTGCTTCTCATCACAAAATGACAGACCCCTGAACCTGGCACGAAACAGATTCAGCAGTCGGCTTTCCAGCCATTGTGAAGAACAGCACCACTCTCCATTGTGATCTTTTATTTAAACAGTAAATCAGCCCGGAGGAATGTGAGAATAAAGGCAAGTCTTTCTACTAAATCTGTACAATCAGAAAGGCTCTACCAAAAAGGCAGCTTTACTGCCAAACCAACCTTTCAGATTGTTAGGAATTTTATACAGTGTGCTCGAAATAACTGGGATCCCCCAAAAAACGTAATCTTCAGTGGTGCTAAGAATAATAACAATAAAGGAGGAGTGCAGCTGCAATAAAAGTTTGTGCTTCGCTGTGAGCATCTCTGTATTGTATCTGTTACTGTTGGGATTGTATGACTATATTCTAACCCACAGCAGTAAGTCCTAACAACAAATTAACTAGTCATTAATTTGTTGTTAGGACTTACTACAGATAATCACTCATATGAGACTCATACTAATAACTTGCTGACAACTACCACTGTCTGTACGTTTCATCAGTCACCAATGAACATTTCAGTCTAGAAACCCTATTTCTTAAACTGAGCATTATTTCAGACTTTGCCGAATTTTCTTTATTTAGGCAATATTCTGTATATTTTCTTGATTTCTCTGCTTTACAGTCATTCCTGGAACACCAGTACCACTTTCATAGAAGGATTGAACTTGTTTTCAACAAAAATGAACAACCTGTGCTGTGCCTTCTAAATATTAAAATTAGCAATTAAGTTACTATTCAATGAATAAAGCAGCTAGAGAATAGGAAGTGTCTGAAAGGTGATAAATACAAAAAATGATTGTTCTAAAGATTTACTGTAAACAAACCATTTTATTAGACATTTTTAATGCTTTTAACTCAGATGATAAGAAATCATACCTCTTGGAAATTTGGATTTGCTTTCCTATAGTCTGTTTAAGGAGATCATTTCTGACTTTATTTAATCTTTCCCAGAAATAAACCAGTTCCAGTTGATATATATATTTACAGTATACGTCTTTTAAAAAAAGCCCATCACAGGAACAGATAGGGACTCAAACACTCACACTGCAGTATATTATGAATGCAGTACTTACTCTGTTAGCAATGGTAATGGCACGATGAGTGGCCTCTGCCTCTAGCTGTTGGTGGAAAACAAAAGTTGCAAAAATTGAGAAAGAAGGATTTTTAAAGGAAAACCTTTAAACTGTGTTTCCCTATAGTGACTATAGTCCTTTTCTATTACACACCAAAGCTCACATAGTTTTCAGGCTCTACGGGCAAGTGCTCAACAAATAAAGCAGCATACAAGACATCATCACAACACCTAGACAGGGCGGCCTTAATCTCATCAAATATTTAGCTCCAAAACCCATAAAAAAACTTTCTGACACTCTGATACCATCATGACACAATGATTCTAATGATTGTGACTGCTGATGCAGGTACAGTACAGTTTCATGGTGCTGTGTGCAAACAAATAAGGAGTCTGTTATAAAAGGAATATAAATATAATATATAATAACATAAATATAAATGGACTTAACAAGTCAGGGCAATGAGATTAAGCAACGTAGTAATAGCTAAACTGCACTGTCTTTCTGCAATTAATACATTATGATATTAATCTTAAGTGTTTGGTTATATGAAATATCAAATGCATGTAATTAGGGAATCCTGCATTAGGGTTTACTAATTGCATTGACATGTGTTTCACATTTCTTTTAAATAATCCATGTATTTCATTTATACTGTATATCCTAAAAATGGGTACTGAAAGGCAAGAGTGCCCTTCTTTATTGAATTTAGTACTTAGGTACAGTATGGAAATTGAAGAGATTCCAAAGCTCCTAAAGACTACCACTACCCCTGAGAGCCATTTACTGAATTGCATTGTACAGGTCCATATTCCTGTACAGTATGTCTACACCTAATGGAAAACTATACAAATACTTCATCAGCTGTCTGCTCAGCAAATAGTAAAAACAACATAATTTTCGGACATACTCCCATGCATTACAACACAAAGAACAAAACACTAAACACTGGCAATTAAAATATCTTAGCAGCTCATATTAACATTTGCAGAAATATGTCTTGGAAGGATAGAAGAACAGCTTTGAAAGCATTTTTATTCTTATCTTCTGGGAGCAAAATCGGCCCCTGAGAGTCACTCAAGTGTAGATGAAACAGTGCACACTCCAGAAGCAGCAATTGATTAATCCCTTTACGTTCTTTACTTTCACTCCAGTGCCTTCACACAAGAATGAACGAATTTTCCCATGGAGCCAACAACTGCCTTGCACATCCCCCTGTAGGTTTCCGTGAGCTTGGGGATAATTCAGTGGGCACAGGTGGACCCGCCTGCCTGCTCACCTCCTCAGGTCTGCTGATCTCGATGCCCTCAGGCCCGCTGATGCCCAGGTCCAGCGCCTCTTTGGCCCCCTGTAAGACACAGACCCTTCATTTCCTACAGAGCAGAACCTGGCACCAACTTCTCAAAAGCTATTTTGAAAAACGTGATGTGATTAAATTTAAAATGTAAACAATCTCTGAGATTTTATGCACTTGTCTGTTATGACACTGAGATTCATAGATCTAAATGATAAGGAAAACATGCATATTGCATATTTCAATGCGTACATTCTGACAACATCAAGTTTCATTAAACCTAAAATGCTTGAGACATATTAAATAAATCTTAGAGTTACCTTACCTTAGAATTACCAGTAAGGTACAAAAACAAAGTTGGAAATACTATTTTAATTTAATATATCCGATAACATCCACAAGGTGGAGCTTCAGGGGCTAGAGTTGCTGCGCAACTGATCTTTTATGAAAACACCTGATTTCTTTTGTAAAGAAAAAAAAATCAATGTTTAGCATCAAGGGGGTATTTAAAGAAAGATATGCCTTACTGTATGAACCCTATTCCATTAGTTTGTATTCTAGATACTGTTTTAATAACGTCACTTCAAACATTATGATTTCTCCAATTACTAATTCAAAGTAACACCTGAAGAAGGCTCCATGGAACATTACTTGTTCCTCCACATACAGTACATGACCATTTAAGAAAGTTTAAGAAAGGGACATCTGTAAGTCTAGCAGAGCTGTAAGTACATCTTAGCTCTCACCTAATTCCCCACTAATCCACTTTCTAGTCTCCAGCAAAGAACTGTGTTAAGAGAACACTGATCACATTCATAGGATTTAGGGGTGATACCATATTTGCACAGCCCTTATTCAGTTAAGCAAACAGAAAAGGCTTTGATTTATCAGAAGGAGCAGGGTGATGTTACACATAAGTAGAAGGGAAATAGGTGGAGATAAAAAGCTAAGAAGTGTAGGGTAAGTATGACACATTTCATCTGCCCAACTGACACCAATGCCTGGACAATGTCCTTTTGTAAGAAACTAAAGCAATTGTATCTTCAAGGGCAATTGTATTAGAGTTCTATGATGTCAAATGCATTTCGGAGAGAAATTATATACGTAAGCATGCCACAGTCTGTATATGGGCATTTGTGTTTCAACTCTTGTTCTTTGTGCATCATATATTGTTTGATCAATGCACTGCAAACAGACACAACTCAAGTTATCTATTATTACCGCATGGAGACATTGGATTCACAGCAAAGAATAGGTTACATGAAAAGAGAGAGAAACAACAGATTTGAAATCAGTGTTATGTTGTTGCTGCCTGTTTGTTGTCGCTCCTGTATATGTCTCAGTATTCAACCAAATTTATAATGAGCCCTTCATGGTTTTTTTGGGGGACATGATTGATAAAATGACTTTGAGTTCATGATAGAACATTCACCAGCATATTCATGCCACTTACACTTCCATCTCTAGTCATGGCTCTGTTCTTCTTATACTGTAATTATTAATTCTCTGAAGAATCTGACACTGATTTTTAATTTTTAAAAGTGGCTCATGCTGGCCTTTGCATGCCTGTATTGTTGATTTTAGACCAAAAGGTATTTATTTTGAACATTTTTACTCTCAGCTGAGGGCCTGTTTTGTTTTTATTTTTAGCTTGTATTAATAATAACATAAATAACATTTTCTCCACTGTAAAATGAATGTGACATTGTTTCCTTTCTCTGGTGCGTCATTTGTATCCACAAGGGAGTGCTGACCTGATTTTTCAGTGCTTGTTAATCAGTCTGTATCAGCCTATTGTTCTGGCCAGAAGAATAAAGCCATTGGGCACATCAAAACTTCATAAAGTCAATCAATCAATCAATCAATCTACATAAGCCTCCCAATGTTGTGAACTAACACATTCCACACAGTAGTGCTGGAACATTCAAAGCAGAAGTTACTTAAGGAATTGTTCTTTGTAATTATGGGAGAGTGACTTTGATTGGTTCTACAACATTTGGAGAAGGCAACTTCTGAAGTCAATTTGGAAAATGGCTGAAAAAGGTTACTGTATTTATTAATTCATTTTTAATTTTGCCCATCTATTTATCTTGTGAAGTGATTCTATTATCTGTGTTGGCTGCCAAAGAAAGCACAGCCAGTTTCACACTTGTTTTTTTAAACCAAAGCACTGGAATGTACATACAGTATAAGGAGACTAGAAAGACAGCACAATGCAATCAAAAGAAAGGAGCAGGCCAGATTAACATCTTGATTATGCAGGGCAGTCAATCATATGGTTTTTCTGGTGAGCCTGTTGAATGCCCAGTGAACATCAAAAAAGAAAACACATAGTAAGGAACCAATACATCCCACTTATCAAGCAGTAACGCTTGTGTGCCACTGGTTGGTGAAGGGTGGACCAAGCCACCTCAGGTGGATTCTCCAATAGTGAAGTGAAGCTGTCAGTAGTGATGAATCAGGGTTCTGGGTAGACCACTATGATTCACGTTAGTCAGGGAGCCACAGCTGTGCAGAATGAATGGTAAACTGAGGTGGGCAGGACTGTCTAGTCACTCCAAACTCCACCTGTGACTGATGACTACCCGACTGGGGCACTGCAGTACATTGTTCAAGTACTGTATGTTCATCGTTCAAGTTTAGTAGTAACATTTTTTGATACTCAATATAAAAAATGTTTAAAATTAGAAAACAATATTGGGGCATCAGTGGTATTACAGCCACAGGACTTTACTCTTGCAAATAGATAATCCCTGTAATGAATAGGAATTTGATTCAAACAACATTCCCCCTTTCCTTGTTTAAAATGTTAGTGCAGTGTACAGTATACAGCATAAGAACTATTTTCACCATCCACTCAAAACAAAGGTATTTATACACCCACCTGAGATTTCTATTTCAAGTGATAGGGGTGACAGTTTTGTTGATTGTGATTTTAGTTCCTACTTGACCAGGTCCAGTAATCTCGTTAGCTTGTGCAGTAATGTATATAACACAAAATCTCACCTCAGCCACAAGCTCTCCATTTTCGGCATGGACACGTGCCACAGCACCGATGTCCTTGCAGGTATAAAAGACCTGGTACAGTTCACTGTCTCTCAGCATGTACAGGTCTTTGTATGTCATGAACATCTGGAATGAGTTCACTCCCTTGTCTCTCACCAGCGTCTCCATTTCAGACCTCACCTGAGGAACAGGCAGGGCTTCAGTCATGGCAGTAAACAGGTTTGTAGACAATAACGTATTATTAATAAAGTAAATTAAAGTAATAATGTCACTTTGAGGAAGCACATTATAAATAACATGCATAACATCTAGTAAAGGAGCTGAAATTAGGGACGATTTGATTTAATTTTCTTTTCAAAACACAAAACTCAACTTTCAAATGTTCAATTGGGGCTTTCAAATGGAGTTAATGGCATTTTTAATATTTATTCTTCAACCTGTTAATCTCAAAATAGCACATTATGAGTTTTTAAGTAATTTGAGCACAGATTCACCAAAAATGTCAATTGGATTTCCACTATGTGAACACATCTCTTATGCTTAGCTAAAAAGAATCGATACACACCCCACTTAAACTGCCAATACTTATTTTAACTACCATGTATTCAATCTGTTCTCTTAATTTTGCTTGTTTATTTTCGCTCAGTCAGTTGGCATTGAACAAAATCTGTTGGCTAACTGTACAGTTTAAGGATTCTAAATAGTACTGTTGGTACGTTGTCCCAGCATGAAGATTGACAGCTGGCTGTTTCTATTAACATACTGTAAAGGAATTTTACAAAACATACTGTAGCTACTACACTATCAATTCAGTATTTTATAATTGCAGTTAAATTAAATAATTATCACAGCAACCTAACAAAGATAACAATGAAAATATCACTAATTCTTTTCTGTTCTAAGAAGATTATTATTTAATTATTTTACAAGTTACATATACTTTTTACTTCTACAGCTTCTTCTTTTTTTCTTCTATAGTACAGACAACATTCAGGGTATTTTTTTCTTGTATCTACACACCTGCTGATACCAATCTCTGTGAGTCTTGTATTTATAGGACATAAAATGGGACTCCTACTAAAAGTCAGTAGTGAGTAAAGTTGGAATAATTTGAGAATTACAAATAGAATATATAGATCTAAAAACTGTTCACAACTGGGAAAGTAAAGCTTGTTTGAATTGCACATAAAAAGAGAAAAACTTTTCTGATTAAAATCACCATGTTATTGCCATGTATTGCCAGAACTGGATCTCTCATTAAACAAAGAAAAAAAGTCAGATGTGTCCTGGATAGCAGGATAAAATGCTGTGAAAGTGACTTTTGAGTGCTGATATGAATAGTAGAAATCCAGCTACTCAAAAAAGAAAGAATGACATTGAAAGAAGCAATTTAGCCTATTTCCAGGAATGGATGAAGCAACATAGAGTCGATGTACCTTCGGGCTCCACCAAGTGACCCCCATGTGAAGTGCATAGTCACAGCAGGCCTTGGGGTCAGCAAGGGCTCGGCATTTGTCGTACGCCTCCAGCAGAGAAGTGTCTTTGTCTGGTAAGACATGGCCGATTATCATCGTTGTTCCTCCCACAAGAGCAGCCTGCACGCAGACAGACACTTCCGTAAGACAACAGCACATAGCATTTACCTTTCACCCATGAGTACACACCTCTCCCCACTGATCTCTTGCTCTTCGGGGTTAAGGTTATTTTTATTGTTTGAAACGTTATTTCCAAGTTGACTGATATTAATAAAGAGGTAAAAGGTGAATTTTAGAAAAAGGTATTACCTTACAGTATAATCTCACAAACTGAGGCAAGTGCAAACAAAATAATTTCCTAAATTCAATGTCTAAATCATAATGGTGAAACCTTTAGTCAGGTCATTCCTTATGAAAGCCACCATGGTTTTGGTGAATTAATCAATGCATGAGCTTTAAGTAATTAAGGAAAGTCTTGTGGATTAAAGTGGGCATGTAGATTCTTCCAGTGTGCAACCTATTTATTTTAAAAATTCATATTTAAAAATAATCTAGTTTTGATTAATTAGAACCATCATAAGCTTTTATTTATATGGTAACATTTCCATTCAAGGTAAATTACATGTAAGCGAAAGTGTATATATAAGAGGAGATCATTATATTTTTTGCAAGCAAAGCAAAAACCTGTAATAAGTGAAATTGTATTAACATTTTTTGAGGGACTGTACAGTGTATAAAGTGTAAGAGCTTTATACACTGTACAGTTTGTATGAAAGAGTCACAACAATAAGAATCCAAATACATACTGTATGGAACGGCAAATCACACCTGATTTAGTGTGAAAGACCTTTCGCTGAAGAATTTCTTCATTACGACTGACCTCAGTCTCAACAATTACCAGTGCAGGATGGGTAAAAATAAAATTGGTTCTATGGTACACATCAACATTTTGCTAAGAACAGCAATTAAGGGTCTAATTTTCCTGTTATGAAACTGTGACTCTTTAATGACTACGAATTGTGGACACAACCATGTTCAATTGAATACTACAGTTCCTCTCTGGTCATCATAGTGCCAGTGCTGTCAGGTCAGTATTTGCAGAGACTATGCACATTAATTAGATTGTGGAATTCTCATTATGTGCAAAACCCAGACTGTGAGAAGACTAATGGCAGACTGCCTAGTCATGTGTTCAATATGCTAATGCAGGCTAGACATTTCTACATGACAGATTTGAATCGCAATCCCCAGCCACAGTTCGCTCTGTCTGCTTACAGCCAATGTATTATGTATGAGCTCAGCCTTACTGCAAATACAGGGGACAAAATATCTCAGATGACAAGATTTTATTTAATATAATAAAAAAGCATTTGGAGGCAAGGTGCTACTGTAAATCTTCAGATTTAGTAAAATTGAGATATACAGTATGGTATAAGATTTTACTGTATGTACTGAATGAAAAGGAAGCATTTTGAATTTATGTAAAAACACAAAGTGACTAGAAACAATGAGTAATATTGCCGTTCTGCAAGGGTGAAAAATATTCAAAGCAATTGTTTTTCTTCACAAGAGTGAAAAGGTGCCACTTTTTACAAAACAAATAGTATAAAAAACAGAATTATTTTCATTAAACCCAAGTCCTAGGCTGGATGCTGCTGTCACACACCCTTAAACAAGACACTCTGTGCAAATTACTCCTGATGTATAATTAGGTCTCCAGGTTGTCATTGAAAATGAGACTTTGGTCTCACCTGACTTATGTGACAAAATAAAAAAAATGACAAAGTGTCATGACAATGAGCAGTCTTATTTATTCATGAATGTCTGTGCATTGATATTCTAATTTCTTCTATATCGGTAGTAAACTTTAAACAAACATATCTCACATTATCTAATATTTTAAAATATTTTCAATTTCTTTGTTAAGTTACATTCAATGTTTTGTGCTGTTGGCATTCAAAAGTGGAGAAAACAATCATGTGAGCAACAAGCCTAACTGCATTTTTTAATATTTTTTTAATGTCAAGAAGTAATTAAAAGAATAAAACTAAACGTTATTGTGTTGCTGATTCTCAGTGGTACTGTATATGAGAACACACCCATCAGAGACTTAAACACTTTAAGGCAAAATTAATCTTTTACTTAACATCCTTACTTTTTTGATGATTAATTGGCTCACCATTTAGTTATTTTTCTTTAGCTTGTATTAAAATATCTTGAAAGCATATTTCATATAAGCTGCAATGAGTCCTTGAGGATCATGTGAAATTAATATTCAACCTTTTCTTTTGAAAGTACATATCTGTATCCACGCTACATCAGCTTATTAGGCCAGAGGTCATCCTGGTTCCTATTCCATTAAGCAGACGTGAGATGTCCACCGGATAAAATGTTTATTGTGCATTTAAACATGATGGAAATATTTTATTGAAAAAAGGACATAATGCCATTGTGAGCAATGAGTTATGCATCCCTACTTTTATTAACCAATAACCTTAAGCCAAAAAGTCCTTTACCAGAATTATGTCATGCCTCTGAAAATAACTGTTGCCTTTAAAATTATAAACATGCTATTCATCAAATTTATAAGTGGCAGAGTTTAATGATAATCACTCATAATAAAATGACAATTGGTCTCCCACTGAGGCAGACACAGCGGGGCTTGCATTCAGTAAGGGAGGCTATTTTAGTTCCAATAAATGAACTAAATGAACTACCTCATTGAGCTGCAAACAATGTATACTTGGAAACAACAGTGTGTAAAGGTGCCCAACTACATGTTTGAAAGATTTGGGTTCTTCAAAAAAGCCAATAATGGAAGTGTGTAAGCAGAATGTACTGTAGGATTATATTGCCACTGAGTCGTTTTACGCTTCCTTGGACTGGTTTAGTTAGGTCCAACTTCAGATTCACAGCTGGGCATAGGTCATGGGTAAACATGTTCACATGGGCAAAGGTTGAGCTCTCTCATCACTGGTCACGGCACTAGCTGACTGGGACTCCACAAGTGGAGGCACACAGATCGAGCACCACCGAGAGTAGGGTGGGAATAGCCAGCTGGGGATCTCTCAGCTCTTCGCAAACCCAGCCACCCCTGTGGCCTCCCGCACCCTTGCAGGCATTCCAAGCCCTGAGTGGGGTGAGGGATGTGCCACTCTGGCAGATGGCACGGAAGCTCTGCTACTGGGATTCATTGCCTGTGAGATGTTAAAGAGTGGGTGGAGTGGAGGAGCCCTCCTATACTTCCTCATTCCCTTGTGTGTGAAATCACGGTGTCTACAGGAAAACACACAATCAGCAGCTACTTAGTTTGGAGGGGTAGAACCAAAAGAACTGGTGATTCTATTTAAAAAAAACAAAACAGTTCATATTTCATTTGGTTTTGACCTCAGCAGAAAAAAAAGCTGCAGTGCAGAGCTTAAACTTTTCCATTTTATTGTGCTTTCAGTTACAAGAAAGGCTTAGTTATTAATAAGGTGATAAACACTGTCTTGTTATTAATGCTGTCATTCCTTCTAGAAAGATTCAACTGCTAACTATAGAATCCAGTGGAATTCTACAATGGAAGTTACGTTACAGCTGGATAATGCATCAGCAAGACAGCATTTCGAATACTGTGCACTATTTTGTTTGTCACTTTTCAAAAAGGGCAATGTTGATCTGGAATTAGTTCAAAGAAGTGCAACCTTGTCAATTCTCCCCTAGCAGTGAAGAAATGTCTTATAGAGGATATTTGACTGAAATCTCTTTCTTCTCGAACAGAGAAGACCATGAGGAGTCTCAACAGTCAACCTAGCAGTCTTCTTCAGGATCAACAGTGAAACATAGACCAGTGCATTTAAGTGGAAAAATAAGAGAAAGACTGAGAAGAGACAACATATTTTTACAGAAACAGTTTCAGGAAAGAAACAAGCTTCCCAGCTACACGTTTGACAAGGATAGATCTTCAAATGATAATTCTACACATGCTAGTTGTTTCAAATGGAATCCTCTTGTGCACCACCTTTGTTTTGTTTTTACATTCTTCAGAAATCTCCAATTCCAGGTCCAACCAGGCTGGGCTGTTGAACGTTGCTGTTGCCAAATTACTTTAGTTCTCAAAATGAATAGAGAGAGAGTAAACATTTGAGATTTAAGGAACCCATTAGTCCTGCCAGGCAGCGATTAGTAGAGTTCAATAACAGTTAGTTTACACCGATATCAAACGTGCCAAGTTAAGGCAAACTAAAGAAGGTCAAACAAAATATATTGAGACACTAGTTCATTTTTCAAATACAAGAGCAACAATAAAACAAATTTAAGAGTTTGTTTCATGATGAAACTGTGGGGGAAAATTTGGTGTTCATTAGTCAAACAGCAGGAGGCAATGTGGTGCAGTGGTTAATATTACTGCCTTGCAGCACTAGGGCCTTCCAGATGCCGGATTCTGTCTGCTTGGAGTTTGCATGGGTCTCCTCTAGATGCTTTGGTTTCTTCCCTCAGTGCAAAAACATACTGGTAGCTTAATTGGCTTCCAGGAAAATTGGTGCTGGTCTGACTGTGTGTCATGTCTGGGTGTGTCCTGTGATGAACTGGTTTACCATTTATGGAGATATCTGCCCTGTGCTTGTCGCTTGCTGGGATAAGCTAAAGTTCCCCGTGCCCCTGAATTGGAAGAAGCTGTTAGAAAATGGCCAGATGTGTATTGAAGAGAAATGCTTCAAATATGATAACACCAACAATTCAAATCAACTGCATTTTTATCTCAAGCTGACCCTCAAGGAACTTCACATAAAAGGAGCAACAATCACATTGTTCACATACAGTGGTGTGAAAAAGTGTTTGCCCCCTTCCTGATTTCTTATTTATTTGCACATTTGTCACACTGAAATGTTTCAAAGATCATCAAACAAATTGAAATATTAGACAAAGACAACACAAGTAAACACAAAATGCAGTTTTTAAATGAAGGTTTTTAATTAAGGGAAAAAAGAAATCCAAACCTACATGGCCCTGTGTGAAAAAGT